AATGCCTTCGGGAATACAAGGAAGGTCGGATTTATCTTTATTCTCAAGAAAGCCTAAGATAATTCATAACCAGAATCTAAGAGCTATTAAAAAAAAAAAAAAAAAAGCAGCTGTGACAAGCCAGCTGGAGGAAGCTGAAGCCAAAATGGACTGGGGCTTGGAGCAGACTGTGAGGTGACAGAAACTCTGCTTGCTCCCCTGTCTGAGGTTCTGTCACCCGCCCTGGGCCTGAGGCAGCTTGCCCCATCCTGCTGCTCTAATATATAAGGCTCCAGTGGCTAAGCCTGTTGTTGGAAACTTGGGCTTTGCCCAGGACACATCACCAAAATAGCTCTTGCAAAAAGGAAAAGTCAACAATGCAGTGTACTGATCTCAAGAAAGGAAAATGTTCTTAATACCAATAAGACAGAGCTTGCTGCAGAGTTGTTAAATTCCTTGCCTTAAGTATATTTTTAATCATACTCTACTTCTTTGACACTTTTGCTTTATAGGAGGATTCCTGGGTTTACTAATCTTCAGTCACAGAATAGCAGTACCTCCTGTTCAATTTGGAACATGGGGTCAGTTCCAATGCGTATTAAACCTCACTGGGGTTCAGCTGCTTCATCTGCAGAAGGAATATCTGACAGACTATGAAGTCCCTTCTAGCTCTAAAACTGGGCCTCCACGGCACTGACCATCAACCTTCCTGGTTGATGCCTCAAGCATTCACGGAGAGACGGCAGAAGTCTGCTCTCTTTGGGCCAGGATCGAAACACACGCAAGGCACCGTTTCTGCCACCGAGGAACTCATCACCCCACGGGTTAACTATGGATTGAGATCAAATTTCTTCTTCTCATAGAAGATTATTAAGGCACTAAGCTGATGGTGTTTGGGAAGGAGTAATTCAAATAACTAAAATATTGGGTTGGCCAAAAAGTTCGTTCGGGTTTTCGTAACATTGAAATCTGGAACAAACTTTTTGGTCAACCCAATACGAGGCATTAGAGAAATCCCTCTGTTTTAAATATAAAGAACTGCTTCTGTGTTTACCATCCTAGAGAAACAGGAGCAACGACTTGGTTATTTCGACACTGCCTTGTTTTTCTCCTTTAAAAAGATATACACATTCTACTAGAAGGAACTCTCCCAGCCCCACAAAGAGACATTTGATCACCTAGCTTAGAAAAAAAATATATATATATATATGAGAACTAGCAAACTTGGGCTATTGGAGAAAACCAACCAACTGACAGATCCCATCCACATTTTCTCCTGTTTCAGAGGAAAAGAAGACAAAGATAACGCACCACAAACATGTTTTCAGATTTATCACCAATTTGGCAGTCTGCACCAGTGAGGTAGTTTGGAAGAGACGCAAAGTTACAGAAGTGAGGGCACTGAATCTAGATTCCACCTCCTGTGCTTCCCTTGACAGAAATATACCTTCTACTGGAAGTAGGGATTTTACTTTTAACCCTACACAAATAATAAAGGCTCACTCATCACCCCTGACTTATACAGACTTTGACTGTTTTCACAGTCCTGGTGAAGGGTTTGCATAAATCACGCAGCATCCCTTGCCCCGGTTCCCCTTGAGACAGAGCAAAACTGGTTGGCTTTCATAAGCACCAAAGCTGCAAACCTCATTGTGAACGTCACAGACCTAGCTGGGTAGGGACAATTTCAATACTTCTAGCTGCAAGACAAAGGAAATGACTCAGCCTGCACCTGGTGTGCAAAGGAAACAGGAGAAAGAGATGTCCAAATCAAATAGCATAAATGCACATTTTCTTAAGGCAATCTGCCCAGTTTCTCTTCCGGTGTTCTGGGGTTATTTCTGTTGTTGTTGTTGTTCTTGTTATTTTGTTTTGCTGTTTAAATTTTACATGCAATTATATATTAGATGAGAAGCTTTAAAGTTGAGGAGATCTCCATCCAACCATACTAGTGAATACAATACATGGCTCACGTTTGTGTTGTAGCAAAAATTCCTATAAAAATATTCATCTGCGGGCTTCCCTGGTGGCGCAGTGGTTAAGAATCCGCCTGCCAATGCAGGGGACACGGGTTCGAGCCCTGGCCTGGGAAGATCCCACATGTCGCGGAGCAACTAACCCCAGGAGCCACAACTACTGAGCCCACGCGCCTAGAGCCCGTGCTCCGCAACAAGAGAAGCCACTGCAATGAGAAGCCCACGCAGCAACAAGGACCCAACACAGCCAAAAATAAATAAATAAATTTATTTATTTTAAAAATACATATATATTCATTTGCAGTCTGTAGGACTGTATGGAACTTACAACTATGCTTTGAGTTTATGAAAGGACTTCTGGCTTTGCTGGATTAAGACCTCTGGAGATCAACTCCCTAATACGTACCTGAAAATAAGATTTTATGTATGCCAAAATTAAAGTTGCCGATGTCTAGATTTTTTAAATGGCATAATTCTAAATAAATTCATCAGAGCAGAACTTTTCCCAGTTTTCAGGGCCTCTGCTTTCCACACATGGGCTTTAACTGCTTCCTAGACAATCCAGTGGAGGTTGGTGGTCATCTTGGCCCCCTCACTACTGAGTGTGAGATTAAAATTCATACCTTGTGAGATCTCAAAAGACTGTGTCATGAGATTTTCATAAACTTCTCCAAAGGAATGAAGTTCATGGATTTTATAATACTTAAAGGCCTTTAGTTGTTGTGGTTACTTGGGCCTCACAGCTCTGTCAGAAAGACTTACCCCTGACCAGCTAGGGCATAGTTTTATGTAAATGGCGCTCCTTTTACATTTGTTTGGTATTGAATAATACCAAAAAGGATTTATCATCAAATTATCCACATCTATTAAAATAGGATGTGTCCTGGGAATTCCCTGGAGGTCCAGCGGTTAGGACTTGGCATTTTCACTGCCAGAGGCCAGGTTCAACCCCTGGTCGGGGAGCTAAGATCCCGCAAGCCACAAGGAGAGGCCAGAAAAAAAAAAAAAAGAGAGAGAGAGAGAATAAAATAGGATGTGCCCTGTTCCCTGCTTTGACGAAAGAACTGATCTAATTTTAAGGCCTTGGGTCAGTGGCCTCCTGGACTGCTCAACCATATGAAGCCAAAGGGATGCTGGCCTACAAGTCTTCTATAGAACAATTGAGAAGGTTCCCTTTTTCGTGTGTGAAATGCCTTTCTACTCACGGCATTACCCAGCATGACTGTGTTTTGCTGTTGCTACACCCAATCCAGGCTCTAGCCCAGGGCCTGATGTTTTAAAAATTAGGGGGTTTAACACATATTAACAGTAAGTTAGAACAACTCAGTAAAGTTGCCCCCAAATACTGAGAGTGGAGGAGGTATAGAAAGACATGTGGCAGTGGAGATCACTTGGAAACTGGATATTCTTCTTACTTACTGGATAATTACTTAATTCTTAGTGACTAATTCTCAGAAACCCTCCTCAACTTGCTCTTTACAAACCAGTCTGCGATACTGTCAATTACTGGCACGGGACAATCACACATAAATTACCTCCTTCGGAAAGTACGTCTTTTCTGAGAATAGGTTTCATACTATGGTACAGCTTAAAAAAATTCTTCACCTATGGCAAGGTTTGTGTGTCCACCTAGAAATACGCCCATTCAACAAGTACTTATTTCATGCCTACTACGTATTGTGAGCTGACCCAGGCACTAAGGAGACATCCATGAACAGGAAGGACAAGGATCCCGCCCTCCCGGACCTGACATTCTGGTTTAGGGAGAATCATATAACCGGAGTCAACTGGTCCCATCTCTCCAGAGGGCGCTGCCTCTCAGAGCTCATCTTACTCGAAGAGGCCATATTGGAAGACAATTAAAACCCCTCCTTTTACTGTGAAAACCTTTTGGAATTTCAGTGCCTTAAAACCCGTCCAAAGCATGTCTTCCAAAAGACCTCCCTACCGGTAGCAAATGAACATATTTCTAAGCAAATGGCAACAATGAATATTTCTAAGCATAATTAGAAAAGAGAAGACATGCTGTCATCCACATGCGTTTCCATATGGTAGATTCATCCTGTTTCCAAAATGGCATTAAAATTCTGCAATATTGTATAAAAATGAGTTGGTTGATATGACCTAAAGGATCAAATTATCTAAGTCTTAAAAGTAACATTATTCACTAATAAATGGTCTGTTCAAGCAGAAAAAAAAATGGTGTCCTCCAGTTCTACATGGCAAGTTATTTTACACACTGTCTCGTAAATGTTCCAGCTGTGCTGAACAACAGCTGTCATATTCAGTGAAAACGCCACATTAAGTTATTGTAATATTTAGTAAAGGGGTCTAATTATTTTTTTTGAAGCTGTCATTTTTTTTAAGCACATGAATAATTTGGGGGGTTTTTTTGGCTGCGTTGGGTCTTCATTGCTGCGCACAGGCCTTCTCTAGTTGTGGCGAGCAGGGGCTACTCTTTGCTGTGGTGCGTGGGCTTCTCATTGCAGTGGCTTCTCTTGTTGCGGAGCATGGGCTCTAGGCACGCAAGCTTTAGTAGTTGTGGCTCACGGGCTCAGTAGTTGTGGCTCGTGGGCTCTAGAGCACAGGCTCAGTAGTTGTGGCGCACAGGTTTAGTTGCTCTGTGGCATCTGGGATCTTCCCAGGCCAGGGCTGGAACTCGAGTCCCCTGCATTGGCAGGTGGATCCCTAACCACTGCGCCACCAGGGAAGTCCGGCAAGTGAATAATTCTAAACCTTTTCTTAACCTGTAAAATAATTTTGACCTTCCCAAATGAGGAAGACGATTAAAAGGCTGATAATCATCTCCAACCTTACCCTACAGTCACCCACTGGATTTTTAGTTACCATAGATAAACATCAACATCTGTCACCATACATAATACTTCTCAGTTGCAAATCTGATTCCTTCATCAAAGAAAAAATTTAATTTATTTAAAATATTTGTTCTTTCAACGGGATATTCTCTCGCCCTCTTGCATGCCTTCGAGGAGGAGGGTTATCTAAAAATGAGAGTTTCATTTTCTGGAATACCATACTTCCCTTTGTGCTCCTCAAATAATTTCCTTAGCTCGTCCATATAGGTCTGATGCAACTCCTCAATCTGCTCTGGGGTTGGGTGCAGGGTCTGACGAACAGGGATTGGGCGGCCAACTGCAAAAACAGAGAATACATCATACATAAGAAATCAAAACCACTCCACCACAAACTACCACCTCTAATGGACAGCCCTAGAAAGATCTCCCAATCAGAATCTGTCAGGCCTGTCAGCTCCCATCCCTTTTTCCTTTTACTGGCTGCCTGCCGTAGTCACACCATCTCTTTTGGTAGCAAATAAAGAGCTTTCCTTCTCAGCAGACGCTGGATTGTCAGGACGCTTGTGGTTTTGACTTTGAGTCAAATGAACTACTGTGCTGGCTGCAGCTGGGAGATAAGAGGACATTGCTGTGTGTGCACGTCAGCAGCTCGCTCCTCTGGTACAGCTGACAGCCAGACCACAGTGCTCTATTATCACTGCCTGGGAAATCTTAGCTCATGAGGCAGCAGCCCTCTATTCTGGCTCTGTTTAATGTCATCCTAAAAAAATGAAAAGAATATATATCTTCACTGCTAAGTATCTGTACCAGAAAACATACATAATCACAAGGATTCCACTGTCTGTAATGGTGGAAAACAAAACCAACCAAAAGTATTAATAGAAAAACACATTAAATAAACCACAGACCATTCATTCAGTGGAATCCTAGGCAGCAATTCTTTTAAAAACTAAATGATATTTTTGTAACTGTGTATGGTGACTTATTGTGGTGATCATTTTACAATATATACAAATATCAAATCAACACTTGAAGCTAACTGTTATATGCAATTATATCTCAATTTAAAAAATGAGATGTCTAAAATGTTGTAGGTGGGGAAAAGTTGTAAAATAACATAGTATGATCCTATTTATTAAAAATGTCTCTATCTAGGTGCATTATAAGCTTTTAGTGCACTAAGCAAATCTACACTGATAGCCCTTACCTGGAGGGAGGGAGGTAGAGCTGGGGGAATTTACATTTTATCTGTATTGTATGAATTTTCTACAATGAGAAGGCATTGGTGTTATCTGTATAATTAAAAATGAACTAATTAATTTTTTAAAACCTAGCAATTTCTACATGTATTTTAAGGCATTTATATAATAAATAACTTTTATCTCACTTGTGTCAGATTTTGAGAGACTAGATATACGTGGCCCCACCTCCTGCTGCCCTCAGTCCTCTCTGCTACTCATTGCGACCTCTGCTGGCCTGATGCTGCTACCGACGCCAAGAGTTGAAAAGGTACAGGATGTTCAATGAACGGCAAACTGCTTACTGCATTTGATTAGCTTGGGCATGAGGTCAAATGGGGCTGTAGGTAACAGAATGGCACTCGCAGGGCCTCCTTTGCCCACCCGGAGTCTCCCCATGCTACCTCCAAGGTTCGATCCATGTTAGTAACAAAAGGTGATTAGTTAAGAAGGTACCAGAGAAAGAAGGAAGTGATAAATAACAGTAGAAGGAAGTGTGACAATAGTATGGGAGGTAAGGGAGCACAGAGAAGGGAATGTATACACACAAACACACACACATATGTTATATTATATATTAAAAAGATATCTATCTATATCTATCTATATTTATATACAATGTTACACATAATCTATATATCCTATGTATAGATATATAATCTCCTATCACAACATTAGTATTCTCAACTTGCTACGTTTTTAACCATATATAGCCTCAAGAAGCTCCTACACAGTTTTCCTTGAAAGCTTGGATGTCAAACATACATAGTAGACATCAGTCCTTTGTAATTTAACATAACTATCTCGCTGTCAGTGTGGTTGACTTTTTTTTGTTGTTGCCACACAGCTTGCAGGATCTCAGTTCCCCGACCAGGGATTGAACCCAGGCCCAAGGCAGTGAAAGCAATGAGTTCTAACCACAGAATGGCCAGGGAACTCTCATGTCATTTGTGGTTGAGATACAGACTAGGAGAGGCTGAAATGATGGGGTGGAATTGGGGGTTGGTGTTGCACAGGAAGCACCAGGCTAGACCAGATCCAGTGCTAGCTCACCAGCAGGTACACGGGGCTAGTAAGTAACTTCTTCTCTGGCCTTAATTTTCACATGTATGGAATAAAAGAGTAGGCAACCTTGAAGCTTCCATCCAGCTCTGATCTTTGTTGTTGTCTGAGGAAAGAAACTGAGAAATTTACGTGCTCATTGAGAAATCTACCTGCAAATCTACTAGCAAATTTGTGGTGTTACAGAAATAGCTTCTGTTTTCTTAGTGAAATTATCCCAAGGAGAGAGGTTAAGTGCAACTATTCTGGGTGGGAAGGGGGATTTATAAAGAGATACAGTGGTCTAAGAAGATGAAGAGTGCTGTTCCCAGCTTACTTCAATTAGGGCTTGTGAATTCTGAATTATTGAGTCTTATTTCCTGAGATATCCTACAGTTAATTCCAATCCTGTTCTTTTCCTATTAATAGTTTTATTATATTTCAGATAGCTCTTCCAGAGAGCTCAAACACGCTCCTCTAAATTGAATTTAGCATCATTAGATTTTTCCCTTTAAACTGTGAGACAAACACAGTCATACTTGTCTTTCTCTTATTTACCCACAAAGAAACTGAGATGCTGAAAGTTTCTAAACTATACATACACATACACAAAAACAAACAACAACCAAAGGAAATGAAGATTTAAACCCAGCACTTCTGCCTCTCATTACTAAACTAACCCAAAATTGGATTAGAGAGTAAGAACCTTTCTCAATTACTTTTTAGGGATACAGACAGAGGTAACAAAACAAAAACTTGCAAGTCTGAGAAGGGTCCCCGGAGCCCTAGAAGACCAGAGTTCCGTCTCTCCACAAAAAGGAGATTTTTACTATCAAGGAGAAGAAAGCTATTTTCCACATAAGACTGGGTTAGTTGCAGGCTGCTGCCTGACTCCCTTTTTATAACACAAAGGAAAAACCAGCTGCATTAGGTTGCTCTGGAGGTAGAACTCCTTGCCCTGGAAAAATCAGCTAACATCTACTTGTGGCAGAGTCAGGAATCTTAGCTCTTGTTTATGTTTCGGTGCTTTTTATAGCTGGCATGCTCCTTTGTTCCCTTTTCAATTCCATCCAGCAATTCAGGATTAGTTATGTCTTTATTGCCTTACACAGCAGGCTTGCTCTAACTCCTGTGATGCTGTGCTGTATTTACCTAGATGGAGAATAAGCAGCTTCACGAGCTATTGTATTTGCAGCTGGAGAAGAGCTTGGAGATGGGAGTATTTTCTTCTCATTGAGGCAAAGAGTAGGTATTCCACAATAAGGAGTCTTTTTTCTATTTCTCTGTAATTGTGAACATTCTGCAGTTTTCTCTCTCTAATGGTCTCACATAGGAATTGCTCTTTCTTTAGATGCTATATAGCCATACACAAGAGAGAGACCAGGCAGAGAGCTGGGCAGAGTGAGATTTGGGAAGAGTCAAAACCTGGGTTCAAGTAAACCTCTGGCTTATGATGGAGTCTCAGAAGACGCCCAATGTAAGTATGTGTGTATATAAGTGTGTATACATATGCACACACACACATTCATGAACATTTACTGAGCACTTAATACATTGTACTGGGCACCATACTAATTCCTTTATTATTACCTCCTTTAATCCCTACTTTACAATTAAAATTTAAATTAGGTTCCCCTTCCTTCCTTTCTATTTCAGAAAATCCATTAGCCTGCTTTTTTTCCCATTAGGATAGAATAACGACTTGAAACAAAATGGACTACTTTTGTCCTCAAGTGGTTCCAAACCAGTTTTATTTAAATAAGGTACATTTCCTTCCCTAACCTTTTTATCAAAAAAAAAAATTCAAACCTATAGAAAAAAAATAACACAATGAGCACTTGCATGCTCTTCCTCTAGACTCACCAGTTTTAAACATTTTGTGCACACACACACAATATGTATATACACATGTATTATTATTTTTATTTTTGTAGAACCATTTGAGAGTAAGTTGTAGACATCATTGATTCGATCATGCTATCTGCCTTAAAACTGCTCACGCTATAAAGACGAAGTTGAAAACCTATTCCAGCTTAAAGTAGGCTAAAGAAAGTGAAAATTAAATGCAATGTATGATCCTGCTATGGGAAAAAAAACTGCCCCCCACCAAAACACATAGCTAAAAAGAATGTTATTGTGGTAACTGATGAAATTTGGGTATGGCATGTACACTAGTTAATAGCATTTAATCGATGTTCAATTTCCTGAATTGTACTGACATTATAAAAGAGAATAATCTTGTTCTTAAGAGATAGACATAAAAGTAATTAGGAACAAATGGTCACGTTGTTTGCACTTAAACAGTTCAGCAATACCAACAGTAAAAGGTGTATTTATGATACCATTAGAGAGAGAGAAAAACCATAGCAAAAATGTTAACCGGTGAGTCTAGGAGAAAGGCACACAGGAGTTCGTTTTACTACTCGTGAGACTTTTCTGAACATTTGAAATTTTTCAACATGACATTTTAAAACTTAAATCCAACACATACTAGGACACATGAAATTTCCTCCTTTAAACAGCAAGTTTCCCTTGTATTTTACTTTCTTACCCAAACAACTTTCTGTCATACCACCTGTACTGGCTCTACAACTTGAACTTAATAGTAAATTCATCTTAAAAAATTTTAATATGTACTTGTTCTATTTCTGAAAACTTAAGAATTATAATCAGACAGGCCTAACTAAAGACTAGACTTTAAGAACAGTGTGTAAAGGGTCACAGTTCCTTGCAAGAATGTTGCTTTTGTTTGTTTGTTTCTGCATCACAGACCTCCAGGAGGGCAGGGATTTTGCCTTATTTGTTCTCTGCTATATTCTCAGTGCCCACAGGGTAGGCGCTCAAGACACATTTGTGAATCAACGAATTAGTCTTTAGTTAGTTCCTTGCAACATTCTTGCAAGGAACTGGACCCTGTACACACGGTTCTTAAAGTCTAACCTCATTTCCTTTTTCTCTCCCAGTTGTCATGATGGATGTGACATTGAAATCAGTTTCTCTCCATTATTATGTAATAAAATATAATCTATGTGAACACTTTATTGTACTTGGATAAACTGATAATAACCCGGAGAAAATATATAAATGACATACTATTTGTGACACATAAAGAAAATATATGGTAGCTTCTTTATAAATTATGTCCATTGAGAATGACCCTCAGGAAAGAGGAAAGAAGGTCTTGATGGAAGATGCAGAGAAACCTGATGGTTTAGCAAAGTCTGGGGTAAGAAATATGCAGAGACTGATGATGGCATCTTAGAATTAGCCAGAGCACATTTTTAAAGGGATTTTAACTAACAGGACATTAACAGACAAAAACCATTACAGTCCTAGCGAATCTTAGTGAATCTTGCTCACGCTACAATGAATGCTCTGGGGACTTCCCTGGTGGCACAGTGGTTAAGAATCCGCCTGCCAATGCAGGGGACACGGGTTCGAGCCCTGGTCCGGGAAGATCCCACATGCCGCGGAGCAACTAAGCCCGTGCACCACAACTACTGAAGCCCGTGCTCTAGAGCCCACGCTCTGCAACATGAGAAGCCACCGCAGTGAGAAGCCCGCACACTGCAATGAAGAGGGGCCCCCACTCGCCTAAACTAGAGAAAGCCCGGGCACAGCAACAAAGACCCAACGCAGCCAAAAATAAATAAATAAATAAAATAAATCTATTTTTAAAAAATGAATGCTCTGGTTGAAGTTGCTGATGAAGTGGGGTCTGAGAGACATGGGGGAAAACTATTTACAGGATGGAGAATCAGAGCATCTCTGGACACCTGGGAGTGAGAGGATTATAGATGTAGTAATGACTTAGGGTGAATTCAACTAATATTTAGTGAGTTCTTGTGATGCAAGGTGGAGTTAACAAACTCTTAATTAAGTAGAAGGGGGAGCAGAAGGACCCCAAAACAACTTGCCACTCTGGACGCTGCCTGAATTCTGCTTGGGGTGTGTCAGGGAGTCAGCAGAGAAACAGCTCTGGGTTTGAAGTGCACTGATTTAAAACAGAAATGAGCATAGCAGCTTAGATCATGGTTTCAATATCATATTGTGTTTTATTCTCTGGCGCTTGTGAATGATACATAACTTTTGCTTTTGTTTATGGAACTGTACATAACTTAGCCCTAACTTGGGTTTCTCCAAGTAAATAAAAGTCTTTAAATACACATTGTCTGAGGGTCTGGTTCACACAAACCAGGCTGCTCTCAGCCATCTGGCTCCCACCTGATCACCATAAGAGCATGCAGCTGAGTCTTTATGCAACATGCATATCCTTAGCTTGGTTTTTAAAAGGCTTCACATAATAGCAGGATTCTGAGGATGCTAGAGACTAGAATTGGTGTTTCTGATGTAATCGTTCGGGGGGTAAGTGGAAGGATGCACTGAAGCAATTTTCTTTTGTTCTGAGTCTTTAAGAGATGCATGCTTGCGCTTCCCTGGTGGCGCAGTGGTTGAGAGTCCACCTGCCGATGCAGGGCACGCGGGTTCGTGCCCCGGTCCGGGAGGAGGCTGGGCCCGTGAGCCGTGGCCGCTGAGCCTGCGCGTCCGGAGCCTGTGCTCCGCAACGGGAGAGGCCACAACAGCGAGAGGCCCGCGTACCGCAAAAAAAAAAAAAAAAAGAGATGTATGCTTGACAGGCATTAAGTAAAAACCAGAGCTATAAACACAGAAGGACCTAGAGATGATCATACTAAGTGAGGTGAGCCTGACAGAGACAGACAAATACCATACTATATCGCTTATATGTGGAATCTAAAAAAAAAAAAAGATACAAATGAACTTATTTACAAAACAGAAATAGACCACAGACTTACGGTTACCAAAGGGCAAAGGACGGGGGGGAGGGATAAATGAGGTGTTTGGGGTTAATGTCGTCGTCATCATCCTCCCCCATTTTAATCCTCCCACACGTGCCATTTTTAAAGATAAAATCAGTCTATATTAGGATACATGTATCTAGTTGGGGAAAAAATGCTTTTGCCGTATGAACTGATGCCTATGTGAACTGAACATGATGAAGACATCTATTACACAGAAATGTCCACATATTAATAGACTCTGATGTAACATGTTCAAAGAACTGCTATGTTGTAATCTGCTAGTACAGAGAAATAGATTCATCCTAGAGTATTAGAAATTCTATTTCTAAAATTGAATTCTATTTGTAGTTCAACAGCAATATTTTTAAAATAATTGATTCCCATTCAAATGGAAAACATAGTCATTTCGTAAATAAAAGGCAGACTGTAACTGAAGCTCAAATAACACCTATAGGATTATTATTTTAGGAAGGTCTTACTCAAAGCTATCTCAGTAACAATAAACATAGCTCAGAGCAAGGTAATCCTTTTTACTCAGTTTAACAAGCCTCGAGTCTTTGATGTACATACCAACAGTGTGGATGGGCTTCCTATAGGGCATTAGGCCAAAATTGTATTGAAAAACTCCTCTGGCGTGGAACAGTGGCAAAGCAAATCCCATGATCTTCTGTAGTTTCTCCTGCACAGCTCGAAGCCATGAGCCTTCAGGGTTGCTAACTTGTTTAAACAGTTCATTTTCACCAAAAGAAAAAACTGGCACCAAATAAGCACTGCAAATAACAAGGAGGAAGAATAAGCATTTTCAATGAAAAGGATTTAAATATTTCATTTAGCCCAGCTGACTTTTACAACAGAGTCCTAACAATCCTTTAACGTTCCCAAGCCTCCCTATAGCGCTAAGTTCATGTTCCACACATTGAAACTGACTTATACCTGACGTCCTTTGGGGAGGTACCTCAGCAGCCTTAGTGGTTTGTGGAATTTTATTCTATAGAAAATCAAGGTTCCAGGAAGCTTCTTTGTCATCTGTGGTTTTGGCCATGGTTCATTTGTTCATTTGGCTGGGAATTTATACTGTGCCTATAAAATTTTGTGTTTTTTGGTTTTCCTCTTACAGACAAGTTGAATTGCTGGATGCCATGACATTGAGTTACCTTAGTGGGAAGGTTGTATTTCATTCCCCATAAACATCCACACCTGCTTTCATTGGGAAGCCGATTAGGAGCTCCGTCTTTAAGGGCCAGAAAAATTACTTCACTTCTTTGTGTTCATTTAATAATGTGTTAACTACCCTGACCCAGTTGCCTGAAATGAAAAGCCACTTACCCATGGGTCAAAGCAATTTTCACAAATCCCTTCCGCTGGCGGATGAACAGAGTGAACTTTCCAGGATGGGCATCCAGTGATTCCTCTGCACCCCCAAGCACAATGACTGAGATGTTTCCACCTCCTTCCTTGCTCAGCACGTGAGACACGCTTCTCCTGGAAACTGAGACTGGCCCTTAGTGAATAAAACAAAAGGTGTTAACTAACTGCCCTTTTACACTCTTATCATAATAGTCTACGGCACCAGCAAATACTTCACAGAATTTCCTAGACTGCTTACATTTGGAGAAGTTTGCAGGTTTATAACTTTTTCATAGCTGACTCTTTGGTAATAGATTCCATTAATAAGATCTAACATTCTGGCAGAGGACAGGGTTAGGTCTTTAAAATGTCACTTGCTTATTACTAGGTCTATCACTTGTTCAGGTAGGTTGTGTACTGCTCATTTCTACAGATTCCATTCATATTGCATTATAAGTAAAAGGTGCCCCCTGGAGTTGTTCAGTGCACAACCCTGCACAGCTGTATGCGGTAATCTTGATCGTTATCCTGGCAGATCCTTGCTCAGAACCAAACAGCATAACCTCCAAGAGGTTGGCCTGGATCTTTTGAACACACAATGGTCTGTTTTCAGGTATTCTTTATGGATTCTTATTTCTCAGACATGGATGTATAATGTAAACGGGTTCAAAAATTCAGACATCTGACAAATAACCTACATCAATTGCTAAATCTGTGCGTGATTCCCAAATGTCTAGTTTGACTTTGGTAAACTGTTTATTTAAGACGAAAGTTACATAATTGTTCAGCCTTTATATCAGCCTTTCCCATGTAAACATAACTTTAAAGACTCCTTTTCAAATTTTAAATGGACTACCTACTCTTGGAGGAAAACACTATGAACTCTTGGAGGAAAACAATAACAATGAAAACACAAACAACTTGTGACCCATATTTCAGAGACAACCACTTTTTAATGTCTTATTGTTTCCTTCCATTCTTGATTTTATCCGTTTTCTTTTTTTTAGTCATAAAAGAATGTGGGGCTTCCCTGGTGGCGCAGTGGTTAAGAATCCGCCTGCCAATGCAGGGAACACGGGTTCGAGCCCTGGTCCAGGAAGATCCCACATGCCATGGAGCAACTAAGCCTGTGTGCCACAACTACTGAGCCTGTGCTTTAGAGCCCAAGCGCCACAACTACTGAGCCTGTGTGCCACAACTACTGAAGCCCGCGCACCTAGAGCCCGTGCTCCGTACTAGAGAAGCCACCGCAATGAGAAGCCCGCGCACCGCAACGAAGAGTAGCCCGCGCTCGCCGCAGCTATAGGAAGCCCGTGCACAGCAACGAAGACCCAATGCAGCCAAAAATAAATAAATATTTTATTAAATAAATAAATAAAGGTCAGAGCCTTGAGAATGGGCTATCCTGTATGTCAAAAAAAAAAAAAAAAAGAATGTGTTAGTTTTATCAGGACACGGCCCTTCGTCTCTTGAAGGAAATTACATGCTCATTTTACTGTGGGTTCCTATTACTGGGGGAGAATAAAATTAGGACAGGATTCTGAATGATCAGCGACTCTCTGAAGAGAAGAGGCAGAGGCAGGTAGGTGAGAGGGTAGAGAACCTGAGCCCAAATAGGTGTGAGCTTTCACTGAGTTCAAAGCCACGGCCATTCTGCTCTGCGTGCAGAGCTGGAGGCATTGCTTCCACTGGAAAGAGGGCCTCATGGATTTCCAGACACCTGGCAGTCCTCACTTGCCTCTGGATACTTCTCAGTTTCCTCCTGAGGCTTCCCTTCTTCAGGCCATGCTTAAATGCTGCTATTTCTCAGGGCTGTTAGGGACTAAATGTTTACGTTCCTCCAAAATTCATATGTTGAAACCTAACCCCCAATAGGATGGTATTAGGAGGTGGGGCCTTTGGGAGGTAATTAGGTCATGAGAGTGGAGCCCCCAGGAACAGGGTGAATGTTCTTATAGGAAAAGGGACAGAGCTAGCATGTTCTCTCTTTCTACCATGTGAAGATACAATGAGAAGATGGCCATCTGCAAGCCAGCAAGTGGGCCATCACCAGACACCAGATCTTCCCAGCCTTCAGACTGTGAGAAATAAATTTCTATTGTTCAAGCTACCCAGTCTATGGTATTCTCTCATAGCAGCTGAACTAAGACAGGCTCCTTTTCTGTCCCTGTTGTCTTTAACCTTATCTCTACATGTGGCACATGGATTCAAACCCCACTTATCTTATGTGTGCTGAGTTCTCCCAAATCCATCTCCTTAGAGTTTTACTCTAAGAAATTGTAAACCCAGCTGGTTTGGGAGGGGACATTCTATGTGGTCCTGCCCACCCAGAACCCTAGAGAAACAGTGATCTGCCTTCACTTACCACTACTCATCAGATATTCTCGGAAGAGCGGACACCGGAACCAAAATGGAAGCACGTGAAGATACGCAGTGAGGCCAGGAAACAGCTCCTTGAAGTTTGAATAATTTGTACAAAAGTTTCCAAAGGCTCCAGCAACAAGCACTCCATGGGGGTGAAACCCAAATATGTAGTTGTGACTTGGATTCAAATCCCAAGTTTTGATGAGCTACAGTGCATTTATATGGACAGAAAAAAATAAAATGTTCCCTGATTAGTTTCCAATAAGAAACAGAAGGACTCAGAATTAGTTCTGTGTTCAAGAGGAAATGAAGAACACGACTCATTTTCGTTTCCTGGGGTAGAGCTGTTTCCAAATTTTTAAACTGTTTCCTGAACCCAGAGCCCCTCATACACAGCTTTCTAACTTTTGTCAATTTAGGTTAGACTCCATTTAGTAACTTGGGCTGAATTGCAGGCTCTCTCCCTCTAAAAAGGGAAATCTTGAAAAATATGTGATAACACATTTGAATTTTTTTCCCAGCTTAAAACCATACCATATAAAACAATTCTACTCACATGAATTGGAAAATAGTCCTTAAAGTACCTCCAAATGGTCCAGCTTCTGACCCAGTCAGATCTCCTGCCTCCTTGCTCTGGGGTTTGCCAGTCAAAGTAAAGCCATGTCAAATAAGGGATGTAGAGGAACCAGTAGTTGTATATGATCAGGAACACAATGACTCCAAGGCACACCTGTGCTGTAAGAAAGGGGAAGACCTCAGGAATCAGGGTCAGTTAGCATCTCCTCACTGTACTGTACAATCATTGGCCCAAGGTAGGGGGGATCTAATATATACAAAGTGTGTTCAACTGAACCTTGGTTCAAGTGAGGTGATGTAACAAGACAGCAATGGTACAGTATGACCTAACATTTCTTGGACGTTCAGCATATACCAAGTACCGTATTGTGGATTCCACCAAAATATTTTAAAATTTAATCCTCATATAGCCACAGCATCAATGAAGCAGCCCTAGCACTCCTAACATTCTTTTTATAAGAGGGAAGATAGCAGCTTAGGGAGGTTAAGTGAATTGCCCAAACTACACGGGGAAGTGGCTGACCTGTCTAAATTCAAGGTCCATTCTCAAAGCCCATGGCCCTATACCATCTCCCCGACGTGATACATGGAGGAACTGTCGCTGACAGGAGGAATGCAGAGGAATTCCTACAAGTGTTCACCTTGATTGAGCAGCTATTACGCGTGTGCCCATGAAGAGGGCACATTCCAATGACAAACTTCATTTCCCGGAAGTCTATTGCCAGAGATAGATATGGCACAGGAGGGACTCTACGCCTTAGCTCACCTACCACTTCTCTTGACATTTCATAACAACAGAGCAATCCTAATTGTTTGTGCACCTAATGCTGTAGCTTCAAATAGATGAAGCAGGAATTGATAAAACTTGACCTGGGCAGTAGGGACAAGAATATTTGCCTTAAAGTAATACATTAAGCTAAGCTAGACATTTTCTTTTTATGTCTGTGCTATGGTTATACTAAAAAATATTTATGAGAAGAAAAATATATCAATGGGGAGGAGCACAAAGACTTAAAGCCTGCGGCTTCCCCGGTGGCACAGTGGTTGAGAGTCCGCCTGCCGATGCAGGGGACACGGGTTCGTGCCCCGGTCTGGGAAGATCCCACATGCCGCGGAGCGGCTGGGCCCGTGAGCCATGGCTGCTGAGCCTGTGCGTCCGGAGCCTGTGCTCCGCAACGGGAGAGACCACAACAGTGAGAGGCCTGCGTACCGCAAAAAAAAAAAAGACTTAAAGCCTGGCACAGAGTAGGTGCTCAACAAATGCCAGCTATTACTGTTGGTTTAAGGAGTGCCATTACCGCTTTCTTCTTTATTATGTGCTACAGTCTCTAATCTAGAACTAACTTTGGTCTCCCAAGCTCCTATCCATTCTCAACTTTATTAAAAAGAGCTTTGTCCCCAAACAATCCATCATGGTATCTGACATGAGCACCTTTGATCTATTATTGTTTTATAGTTATAGATGTAGGTATAGATTTGGGGCTTTTTTGGCAAAAACAGAACACATGTTTATATTTCTAGAAATATATAAATCAATAAATTTCCCAGTACAGATTTAACCCACATACTGAATTGAACCCATCAGAGGACTGACTTGCTCTCTCCAGGGTGGGTTAAAGGTTAAAAGTGTGTGAAAGTTTAAGGAAGCATGTGCCCTCCACCGTTCAGTGGGGTGTCTTCTTGCATTCTGGAAGTTTCCACGAGTCTAGAAGTGAGACCAAAAGAGTGTCCTCTGCCCTCATTCCTACCAAGATCACTCTATTTTGATTTACCTGCTTCCCTCTACCCAGGTCTGTGCGCTGACAATGTACCCCTGTTAATTAATTTTATTGTATTAAAATGTGCAAAACATTTACAAGAAACATAAATAGGTCTCATTATTCTCTACCCCAAGCTGGATCAGGTGAGCTATGATGGAGCAAGGGAGGGAGGGCATAGGTACTGAGTAGTAACTGTCTCGCATGGGCAACCTTATTTACTCCTCCTTGGAACCCTCAAGGTACAGAGTTCTGTCCCCATTTTGCAGTTGTGGAAACTGAGGCTCAGGGAGTTTGAGTGTCTAAAGGACTTGAACCTGGATCTGCCTAATCCTTAAACCCAGGCACTTTTTTTTTTTTTTTTTTAGAAAACCAAACTATCCCCAGCTAATGGTCATAACACCATAAACATGTGTTTATTACAAGTACATAAGCAGGTTCATAAGCACCACTCTCCAAGGACTGTTGGGGGAATGAACAGAGAGATGTTACACTGCCTGGCACAGAGCAAGCGCTTGACAAATGGGAGCCATTTTTATAACAACTGTGTTTACTAGGATACATTTGGAGAATGCAAAAAGTAGAAGCAGACAAGGTAACTCATATTCCTGTCACCCAACAAAAACTACTGTTAAATTTTCCCGTCTTTTTTTTTTTCTCCGTCAAACAGGTTATGTTTTTTTAACACAGTTGATCACACATATTTTTTATTCTGTATTTGATCACTTACGATTATCTCATCTTAGCTGCTTGGTATTATAAATTTGGCATTAAAACCTCTCCATAAGTGTTATTTTTAATGACTGTGCAACATTCCACTGGTTGTCAGTACTAATTCAAATTCTTTTGTTTTTGAATATTTGGGCTTCTAACAACTTTTCTCTAATAACATAATCTTGCATAAAGATTCTATTTCATATCATAAACAGCACCAAAATAGTTTTTTAATCCCTTGATCCTAAATTGGATAGAAAGCAGAAAACACTATAAAAACTAGGTGACTAGATCACCTCTATTTTCTATTTTTATCCCACTAAGCAATCCAAGGTAACACGATTCTCCTAAACTGGAGGTCAAACAGAAGAGAAAGTTAAAAAGATTTACTCCAAAACATTGTGCAGCTCTCAAAACTAATGTTGATACTTCAAAAAAAATTGTTTAGATTCACAAAGCAAGTTGCACTGAAGGCCAAAATTTCAACTGCCTTTTTTTTTTATTAGAAAAATTATTTCTTTCTTCTCCTTTCACACATCTTATTGTTCAGGAAACAGTCTTACATACATATCTGAAATGATGTACTGTCACACACTCTGTTTAAAAGCAAAGCACCACAGGTAAAGCTGATCGGCTGTCCAGAGTTCTCAGCTTATGGGATCTCACTTCCTGATTTTACATTAATTTCTGAAGGTCAGAAATGTCATCTCCAAAAAATGTCAAGGGGTTTGTAAAAAATAATCATTTTATTCAATATTATAGTTGTAGAAATGAAGTATATTTTCTTTAAGAAATAAAATTTAAAAAAAGAAGAAAATGCCACTTAACATCGTTGGTGTGTCAGTACAGGCCAGCAGGAAAAAATGCTTGTCTCTTTGATACCAAGAACGCATTCTAGTCCAAGCTATAATATATAATATATATAATACGCTTCCTATGTTTTCACTAGATGTTTCTTTTCTGCTGCTTTTCATCCTTTTCCATATTTCATATCAGAGGACTGATACAGCCTTGAAAACTTCATTAACAGGAGCAAATTCAGTATCCACCGATTTCTTCTCAAAAGGCACTCTAACCCATCAGATAGCCCGGCAGTTTCATTCTCATGAATACTCTAGCCATGAAAAAACTCAATAGGACACAGACGAATCCAATGAATAGAAGGAGAAATCTATTGAGCTTGGGAATGTTTGGTGCACTGGATCGGTCCAGGATTATGAAACCTAAACCTCCCATTGTAAACAAGAAGCTGGATGGGAGTCCTTCCATAATATCTTGTCCATTGACTCTGTAGGCCAAGAAAGCTACTGGTCTCTGATGCCCATGTTCATCAGTCATGGAGCCGACACTTGGAGGTTCGACAGTAACATCATAAATGATTCCTCCGGCGATGAGGAAGTAAGACACCACCACCAGAGCATACATCGTCATGGCCGACGGCATGTGCACCCAGGGCGGCTTCTTCAGTTTCAGGTTGGGACATTCGAGCACTAAGAACGGGACGCGGTACAAACTCTCCATGTTGGTGGCGGCAGGGGCAGCTGTCGGCCGCCAGCCCCACGCACCACCCAGGAACAGCTCTCCTTTTTTTTTTTTTTCCTTTGGCTGCATCACAGCATGTGGGAATCTTAGTTCCCCGACTGGGGATGGAACCGTGCCCCCTGCGGTGGAAGCGCAGAGTCCTCGCCACTGGACCGCCAGGGAATTCCCCTAAATTTCAGCTTCCTTGACTTGGGTACATTCTGGATAAGAAACCACAAGTCAGCCCCCAATCACTTATACTCTATTTTTACTTAACTGCCATAGATTCTACTTTCTCTACATCACTGAGGAAGCTGCCTCCCGCTATTTTTTTTTTTTGAGGTGAAATTCACATAACATAAATTAACCATTTTAAAAAAAACAATCCAGTTGCATTTAGTACATTGACATTGTTGTGCAACTCCCACTTTTATCTAGGTCCTAAACACTTGGATCATTCTGAAATAAAGCTCTGTACCCATTAAACAGTTACTCCCTGTTTCCCTTTCCCCTGTCCCTGGCAAGCACCAATCTGCATTCTTTTTTGATGGATTTACCTATTCTAGATATTTCATATAAATGCCATGATCCAATATGTAACCTTTTGTAGGCTTTCACTTACCATCAAGTTTTTGAGATTCAGCCATGCTGTAACATGTATCAGTACTTCATGCCTTTTTATGGCTGAACAATATTCGCATGTATGGATAGATCACAACTTGTTTATCCATTTGTTTATCTGTTGATGCACATGTGGGTTGTCTCCACCTTTTGGCTACTGTGAATAGTGCAGCAATGCCCCTCTCCTTTAACAGCACTGAAAGTCAGAAAGGCTCAGCTAAAGTTTATGCATCGTCACTAAGTTTACCATCATCAGTAAAGGGACAAAGTGACATTTGCCTCTTCTTATGATCAAATGGGAAATAGACCCCATCACCTTTGTGACCTTGTTGCCAAAAATGTCTAACCTGACTCTAATCATGAGAACATATTTGGGCAAGCCCAGACTAGGGGACATCCTACAAGATAATTAGCTGGGGCTGTTTTAAAAATATCAGTGTCATAAAAGATGAAAAAACAAATAAAAAGTATAGAACAGGTCTAGTTTTAAAGGAAAATTTGAAGACAATTAGGGAAATTTGAATATGAGCCATGTATTAAATAAGA